TAGAACTTCAAATACTATGTTGAATAGAAATGGTAAAAACCAACATCCTTGACTTCTTCCTTATCTTAGGGGGAAAGCTTTTAGTCTTTTACCTCTGAGTATAATATTAGCTGTGATTTTTTCATATATGGCCTATTATGGGGCTGAATTACTGGTGTGTGATTTATGGATACAATTAGTCATTTCAGTGGAAGCCAAGAATAGACATGGAGTTATCCAGGAATGACCTGGGGAGGACTCTCTTCTCTGAATGGCATAGACCTCTGTGAATTGCATGGGAGACTGGCAAGGCTTTGGGGGATTTTATACTAGCAGAAATGCTGTCAGCTTAGACTGAAGGAGACAGAGACAGGACTAGATGGAGGATGGCCACAGGATTTCTGGAATTCTACAGGACAGACCAATGAAGTTACCCAGTGACAAACATGTGTTATCCTTCCAGAAAAGAGAAAAAAGGCAGGGCTGATACTACCACTATGGGCCCTAGGGCACAGCTCAGGGGTCAGGACTGCTTTCAGTTACAGAGTGGTGGGACCGTTGGTGAAGGTGGAGAGGATGAACCTGGTTGTCCCAGAAGGCAGGGCCACCCAGGGGGACCAAAGAACAGAGCATAGAGCCAAAGAAGATTACTCCCATGTCTTAAAATCTAATAAAATCCACCCTGCTAGGTTTTAGACTTGCTTGGGACCCGTGACCCCTTTTCTTTTTTTTTATTGAGGTGTAATTGACATATAATTATATTAGCTTCAGTTATACAACATAATGACTCTGTATTTGTATATAATGGGAAATAATTGCTACAACAAGTCTAGTTATCATTGGTCATCATACACAGCTACAATTTTTTTCTTGTGTTGAGAACTTTTAAGATTTATTCTTAGCAAGTTTCAAATATGCAATACAGTATTATTAACTACAGTTTCCTTAAGTACATCCCCATGACTTCTTTATTTTATAACTGGAAGTTTTTATCTTTTGAGCTTCTCCTACTTCATGCTCTCCTCATGCCCCCACCCCATCCCCAACAACCACTAATTTGTTATCTATATCCATGAGCTTGGGGGTTTTTTGGTTGTTATTGTCATAATTTAAATGTTTGTTACCGTCATAATTTGATTGTTTGTTGTGTTTTAGATTCCACATATAAGGGAAATCATAGCAACATGGTTGGTCCTTGAGGGCATTATGCTAAATGAAATAAGTTAGACAGAGAAAGACAAATTCCATGTGATTTCGCTTATGTATGGAACCTAAAAAAAAAAAACCCAAAAAATGTGACTCCTTTTTTCTCTTTCTCCCTTTGGAGTGGGCATGTCTATCCTTTGCTTGTCTCACCATTATATTGGGGAAGCATATAGCTTGTCCAGTTTCTCAGATTCATGACTGGAGTTAAATTTTCCCTCAGGATAAATCATATCTTCAGATTCCCACATACCTGATTTAGATGATATTTAAATGAGATTTTGGATTGAGAATTGATATTGGAATGGGTTAAGACTTTGAGGCTATTGGGATAGAGTAAACACATTTTACTTGTTAAAAGGACATGGATTTGGGGGATGCAGAAGGCAGAATGTTATAGGTTGAAATGTGTCTTTCCAAAATCCATATGTTGAAGTCCTAACCCCCAGTATAGCAGGATGTGACTATATTTGGAGATAAGGTATTTAAAGAGGTAACTAAGTTAAAATAAGGTCATATGGGTTGGCTCTAATTCAATAAGCTTGATGTCTCTATAAGAAGAAGAGATTAGAACACAGACATGCCCAGAGAGACCATGTGAAGACACAGTGAGAAGAAAGCAACCTACAAGCCAGAGAGAGAGGCCTCACAATAAACTGACCTTGCTGACATCTTAACTGCGGACTTGTAGCCTCCAGGATTGTGAGAAAATACACTTCTCTTGTTTAAACCACCCAGCCTGTTGTACATTGTTATGGAAGCCTTTGGCAAACTAATACATGGCTTTTATTATGTGGAAGAAATTTCCTTGTATTCCTATTCTGTTCACTGTTTTTAATCATGACAAAGGTGCTGAATTTGGTTAAAAAAAATTTTTTTTTGCATCAGTTGAGATGATCATATGGTTTTTTTTTCACTCTTCATTCTACTAATCTGTTCTATTGCATTCATTGTTTTGTTTTGTTTTTAAATGTTGAACCATCTTTGCCTCCCAGGAGTAAATCCAAACTGGTCATGATATATAGTCATTTTAATGCACTGCTGAAATTGGTTTGCTGGTATTTTGTTGAGGATTTTTGCATCAGCATTCATGAGGGATATTACTCTGTAGTTTTATCAATGGATGGTACTGGTGAAACACTGGAAAGTGGGAAGAAGGGAGAAATGTTCTTTTCATCTTGGCTTCTGTTAATGTCCCCAGTGGTAGCAACAATGGTGGGAAATGAAAGCAACTCCGGGGTTCTTGGTCTAGCAATGCAGTTCCAGCAGTCATTCCGGAAGTCTTGGCGGTGTGGTATTTGTGGGCTCTGGCTCCAGTGGTGGCAGCCACAGTGGTGAGGCACCTTAGGCTCTCACATTCTTGTGGCTTTGGTTGGAATATGGACTCCCGGCATCCTGCAAGGGGCAGCACTAGTTTCCAAAGGCAAATTCCCCTAAGAGTGCTAACACCTTCCTAGACTTGGTGAGTCACTCATCCTCCCTGCTTCACTCCTCAAACCCTTCCATCACTTTGTGCATTCAATTCTTATGCTCAGATGAGTATAATACCGAGGGATGGAGAGGAGAGAAGGCTTTCCAGGCAGCAAACACAGCATGGCAAAGGCATGGAGCGGGAAAGGATTTGGTGGGTTCTTGATCCCATGTACTTCTGTGTGACTGGAGCTGAGGGGGAAGCAGGAGAAAGGCCTGGACAGTCTGACGGGTCAAATGGCTCAGAGTCTGGTCCCACGGAAAAATTTTTCAGTAGAAAAATAAAGTGATATGGTCAACATTTTGGAAAGATTGCTCCTTATGTGAGAACAGCCTGGGTCACGTGTGAAAAATAAGTGACCTGGGAGAGTGGGCACCAGAAGGGAGGGTGGGCAGATTGAGGGGACATGGTTGAGTTGGACTTGACAAGACCCAATGACTGCTTAGATGTGGGGGGTCTGGAGTCAAGAGTAAAATTTTCTGCCTTGGGAAGCTGTGGGCTGGGGAAGCAGGGCAAACAGTGGTTCCGCTCCCCGGCCCCGGACTTGGGGGGCCAGCAGTGGAATCCTGGCTTCCATGTTAACTTGGACTAGTTGCTGAGCCTTTCTGTGGCTCAGTTTCTTCATTGGTAAAGTGGAGGAGGATTGCATCTACTTTGGGAGTGGGTGAATTTTAATGTTTCTTGCAGGATTTAAATGAATTAGAACATATAAAACCTTTGGGTAGGAAATGGCACATAATAAGCACTAATTAATGTTAGCGATTGTGAGTGTGGTGGGTCATCAGAACGTAAAGGTACACAGTAGTTTCTAAACTTTTAAATAGTGTTGCACAACTCATAAATTCCTACCTCTTCTTTTGTTTCTGTTATTCTTCCGATATTAATAGTGGAAATTTGCACTGTTTTTCTCTCATAACAATTCACCAGCAGCACTGATGACCTGGCTCCCTTGTTTGCTGTGAAACCAGCTCTGCCCAAAATGCAGACGGTGAGCTCTACTCAAGATTCTTTCATGGGTGTTTCCAGTAGAAGAGTCGAGTCGTTATCCAGACAACAACGGAATTAATATATGAATGCATCTGCTTGGAGCTGCCCTTGGTGTCTTTAAAGCATTATTGCGTGTACAGAGTCATTCAGCAAATGCTTGTGGCCCACCTGTGAAGTGTCAGGCAAAGTGCCAGGTGTTGGGAGGCCAGAGCCAGATACAGGCAGGCTCAAGTGCATGGTCAGGTGCAAGTGTGTGGCCCTCGGTGACAAGAGGTCTGGAGTTCAAGTCCTGTCTTCCCCAGCTGTCTGAGTTTGCTAAGGTATTTACCCTCAGTCTTAACATAAGCTGGAAGAATTAATTTCTACTTTACAGTAGAGAGGGTTGTTGTGAGTTGTAAAAAGCTTCCAATATAGCAGTTGGTACACAAAGGAAGCCCTTAATTAACTCTTCCAGTCTCACCGCCCTCTGGAGCTCTCCATTTGCATTATTATTATTATTCAGACCAGCCCCTCCTCTCTCAGTCTGTCTGGGGAGCCGGTTCGGGGGAGGGTGGAAAGGTAAGGGAAATGACAGGAGGAACAAGCATTGACGAAGGAAGACTGAGAGTTAAAAGTTCGGCACACAACACTAATTGAGCACAATATCTGATATCTTTGTGCTGCATGAACCTGGCACAGGTCTAGCATTAGATGAAGGTGTCAAGCCTGTAAGAGCAACTTGCAGGCGTACTCCTACAGCGCTGCCTCACCTAATCCCTACATCAACCCCACACAGTAGGAGCTATTACGGTCCCCATTTTACAGGTGGGAACACTGAGGCAGAGGAGGAGAGCCTAACTTGCTCGAGGTCACAGAACTAAGAAACCAGGATTCAGACCCAGGCACTCCAGCATCAGAGCCTACCTTTGGGATCACTCAGTACCCTTCTGCCTTCTGTCTCCTCCTCCAGACTTCATCTTATAGCCAATAGAGACTATCGCTAATGGTTCTTGAGAAAATTACTCAAATCCAGAAAATTCAGGGAAAAGTCAAGTGGAAGAAAAGTAATGTATCTGGAAGGCAATATGACCTAGCCATTTCTTTTCTCCAGGTGGAACCTAAGAAATGCCTTAGGGGCGCCTGGGTGGCTCAGTGGGTTAAGTGCCTGCCTTCAGCTCAGGTCATAATCTAAGGGTCCTGGGATGGAGCCCCATGTAGGGCTTCCTGCTCAGCGGAGAGTCCATTTCTCCCACACACCCCCACCCCAGCCCCCTCCTTGCGCTCTCTCTCTCTCTTTCTCTCACTCATTCTCAAATAATAAGATCTTTTAAAAAAGAAAAAAATCACCAGACCAATCAGGCTCCTTCCTTCCTTTGCCCGGTTTCCAGAGTGGCCCAGACAAGCTCCTCTCTTGTGGGCTGTGCAGTTTAGAGCGTTCCATAGCTTTTTAAAAAGCATCACATTTGAAATCAGCTTCACTTTCTTTTTCTGAGAGGCATTTGCTGCACGGATCCTCCAGTTCTCTGTTCCCTGTTCTCTGCGGAAAGCTCATGGGCACCCGCAGGTGCCGGGCTTGTGCTGCCTTACCGGAGCTTGCCACTAGAGGGCCCTGCCCCCGAGATTGCAATTTTAATGAACCTTCGGAAAAACTGGCCCATCTTGGTGTGGTCCATAAGATCACACCCATTTTGCAGAAGGAGAATCTGAGAACCAAGCCCTTAGGGGATGGGGTGAGTAGCTTATATCTTCATAAATCAGAAGACTAGGGAAGAAAGAAAGTGAGAGTTGGGAGCTCAGTAGTCCCAAGTCCCAAAGGCCACATGAAGAATTCCGGGGCACTGGTTCCCTTCCAGGTTTGTTCTCCTGCAAGACCCAAGGAACACTTGCTTCTGGTTCTATTCCTTCTCCCCCACTTGCCATCGGGGCTGTAGGAAACTAGCAATCTAACTGGGTGAGCGCACCAGGAAGGAGTGGCAGGCTAGAGAAGGACCATGTTCAGGAGTGGTCCCTCAGCTCACACAAAGGTGAGGAGCCATGCTTTTAAGGGGAAACCCAGCCTGTTCAGTGTCCCTTTGGAGCTTTCCATCCTTATGATGTGTCTCTTTGTTTCCTCCCTCATGTTCCTCCCTGGGTGAATGCCTTTCACTCACAGCTGGTTCATTGCTTCCGGCGATGTCTCCACTGGTCTAACTCTGAAAGTCTTTTCCCTCCAAAGTGTCCTTACACTGATGTCTGCATTCTGACACTGAAGGCTTGCCATAACGGGATTCCACTATGCTTCTGTCTATCAGCGCTTGAAACATAGACCTTCTGTTTGAGCTGGCTGGTCATTTTCAATTCTATTCAAAGAATTTATTGCTCACAAGCCTGGTGCAGGGCACAACGTTGGCTGGTGGTGGGTGCACAGGGGAACAAAATTCTCATCATTCAGGGTCAGTCTCGATGGGTTTGAAGTCACGGACCTTGCCCTTCAGTATGCACAGTGTGGAGGGATGCAAATAGTGTCTATACTGTGAGGCAGAAGGAAATGAGTTGCAGTGATATAAGGACAAAGGGGGGGAAAGGAGGGCAAAAAAGCCATAATTAATTTGACCCATGAGACCCATGATGCTTCACAGAGGAGATGACATTTGAGCTGAGCATTGATGTGTGTGCAAAGGGCTGGGGCTGTGGGCACACACCGAAACAGAGGTGCTCTGCCGTCATAGACAAGGGACGGTGAGCATGGTCCGTGCATCTGGGCAGTGCCCAGAGCACATCACACAGATCCAGCCTCCGCTTCTTTCTTGGGCTTTCCTCAGTGGGATGCCACCTAGATTTCATTCTTGGCCAAATCCTACTCTTCCTCTAGAGGCCAGTTTCAACCCGCCTCCAACCCTCCAAGACCCACCTCCTTCAGGAAGCCTTCCCTGATTTTGCTAGCTCCCGCCACTCCCTGAAACATGTAATTCAGCATTTAACATGAGTGCCCATGCTTGCCTTGCACAGAGCAGCTAGACCAGAGCGGACATTTTGCTCATCTGATACTTTGGGGGGTCTTGCAGCCCCCAACATAGGGCTAATGGTGTTCAGGGCTAGACGGTGCTATGGATCCATTCACTGGGACTAACACCTCCCTTCTGCCTACATGCAGCTCATTTCTGCTGCCCAGCCTGGGATCGTTGATGGGGATTTGGGATTTAGCTGGCCGTGGGTGCTCACACATACGGGAACTGTTCTTCATATGATCACTTGAAAGTTCTGCTCAGCCGTGGGCGATTCCTCCTTAGTGCTAGGTAGGAGGGGCACAGACATCTAACCAGAGCGTGAAGTCCATGATTCTCTATGAGAATCTTATGAGGCCTCTGAAGTAGAGCCTAAAGAAAAATGCCCCAGCTGTCTAGTCCCTACGGAAAGAGCATTTTCCAACGCTCCATTTGGAGAGTGTGTCTGCACAGCTGAGAGCCACACCACCAATGGCTTCCCATGTGACCCTATCATGCATGGGTGGGCCGGTCCAGCCAGCTGTCCCCTGCACAAAAGTTCCTGGGCAAAGGGGCACAGAGAGGCTGAAATGCAGCCCACACTCTATTCGTCGAGCCATGTGCTTGGGAGGGGCTGCTTCTGCCTCAGGGAAAGGTGCTTTTGTCTCATTTGTCGCTGGGGCTGTGTAGAATTTGGAGGCTCTGCATCAGGGCTCCTCGCAGACACCAAGTGTGGTAAGAGCATCTCAGGTGGTGTACCACCACGGAGCACAGGTGTGCAAAGTATTAATCCTTCTTACATAGGGGGTTGCTGGGAAGGGTCATCACCTCCAATCACAAAAAGTCACCTATCGGGTGTGATGGCTTCAGTCTCCATGTAAGACATGCGCAGAGAAAAGTCTGGGTCCGGGGCATCTGCTGGGCTATCGATGGTGGCTGAAGCTCTGTCCACAGGGAGAAGGCTGCCCAGGAGCCTAGACCACATTGTCATAGGCTGAAATCCCAGGAGGTTTGCCGTCCTGAGTGCTGGTTTTCCCCATCTGTGCACAAGAGGGAGTTGAGGCGGCAGGTTAATTGAGAGACGCTGCATGGGAAGCCCGGCCCGGGCGGTACCAGGACAGAGAGATGGCCCGGGGAGATGCTCCGGTCACCCACTTGCAAGCGCTTGGGTAATCAGCAGTGGAGCCCAGGAAAAAAGCAGCAGGAGGGAATGGGGGTATTTGCATTGATTTGATGACAGGCTTGGGCAACACCAGGCTCAACCTACCCGCCTTCCTTGCTCCTGGCTGAGCCTCAGCTCCTTCTGAACCCCCACAAGTGCTCCCCACATACTAGGGAGCTGCCTCCACCCGTGTCCTGTGCTCTAGTTATGCGGACAGACCTAGAGCCCTCCCCACACCCCACTCCCAAGTAAAGTGGACCCGACAGGACAGGGAAAAAATTCTTCTCAAATCACCTAATGAGCAATCAATAATTGCTATCCACCTTGTCTAGAGGATGTGCTTTGAGATGCCACAACCTGAGCCGCCCTGGTGAATCCCTCCAGTAGAGTCCTTGCCAGTGTCTCCTCCTGTGTCCTTCCCCGACCTGCAGATCCCGGCTCACACATGCAGCCCTGCCCCTCCCTTCTTCCTTCCCCTTCGCCTGTCCTTTGTCCCTCCGTTGTCCCTCTGTCTCCTTCTCCCTCCTTCCCTCTCCTGAGCACTGAGGGAGCGAAGGCCCTTCTGTCTTGTGCTCCAGGACATTGGCTTAGCCCCACACCCCAACCACCCGAGCACGAGTTCTCTTGCAAGCCTCCTGCTTCTGCAGCTCACAGATGCCCTCTATACCGAACCAGCTCTTAATTCTCATTCCCCACCCATCCGTGGCCCATTTCCTAATGTCCCCTCCCACTCTTCCTCTGTTCTCTTGACTTTCCCTTCCCCCGACCCCCAGGTTCCTGTTTATCTTTCACGATGATTTTGCTCAGCTATTACCCAGGAACACTGACAAAACATTCGATTCCCCAAGACACCCCAAAGCTGTCCTTCTGACTGCAGCAGAAATGAGGATCCTCACAGACAGTGAGCGATGCCCCAAACGGAAAGTCTCACCTGCCCTCTATGCATAGCCGAGAGCAGGACATTGAGGCACAGGGCACTGTGCGTGTTGCTGCTCCATTTCAAATTGTGGTGCAGGTTGCACACTGTGCAAGTCAGCTGGCAGAGGAAGTGGGAACTGAAATTCAGCCTGTGTTCTACTTCCCCGGGCTGGGCACCTGGTGTGGGCCTGTGTCTGTCCAGAGGGGGGCACCTGGTTGTCTAATTTTATTCTGTGAGCCCGCATGGCCCCAGCTGCTTGAGAGGCTAGAGTTGGAACCCCGCAGTTCAGAGGTCCGGGGGCTCCTGCATTTAGAGGCAGGCTCAACACCCCAAGTGAGCCAGCTTTTGGATGGCCACGGACCTGGAGCTGGGTTTTGTGCAGGGTGGGACGCTGTGGGCCAAGGCCCCAGCAGTTAGTCCTGAGAGGGACAGAGAGAAGCACCGAGCGAACCAGCTGGCCCCTGCTCGGACGGACAGGGCACAGCAGAATGGCTGGAACAGACAGGCTGGGATAAAAAATCAAAAGGATTTACCTTATCCATCTGCAATGTGGCGTAAACCCTGTTCGCTGGGTCCTCCTTGGCAGGGAGCTCCTGTAAAACACCCGTCTTTCCCTCAGTGAGGGGCCCAGGCAAAACCTCGTGAGGCCCCCTTCCCGCCTCTGCCTGGCCTGCTGCTCCCTGATCCCACTCCCACCAGGTCACCTCCTCTCCCCGCCTCTGCTCTGGTTCCATCCAGCCTCGAGAAGGCCAGGGCAGGGTGTGGGGCGGGAGGAGTGGGTAGCAGTTGGGTAAAACCCTCAGGAGCCAAGAGGAGGGGTTTGCGTGGTTCACACTGGGTCTTGCCCACTGAAGATTTTGGCTCTGGACACCTAGTCACCCATCAGCACAAGCTCAGTGCTGGCTGGACCAGGCGGACGTCCGTTGCCCTTCCACTCCTGTCGACTTCGGGGGAGCAGGCCAGGGCCTGGGAGCACAGAGGAAAGTGGTTCAGGGTGGAGATGAGGGCAGGACAGGCAGGTGAAGGGCAGGTGGGAGGAGGGGGGTGTCGCCGCCAGACCAGGAAGTTCAAGGGGACCTCTCTTGGGGCTCCTGGGTGGCTCAGTCATTAAGCGTCCACCTTCGGCTCAGGCTATGATCTCAGGGTCCTGGGATCAAGCCCCACATCGGGCTCCCTCCTCAGTGGGGAGCTTCTCCCTCTGCCTCTCCACTCTGTTGGTGCTCTCTCTCAAATAAACTAAATCTTAAAAAAGGAGGGGAATCTCTCTCAGTTCTGTGCTCTTAAAGGCCCCTTAGCCTCCTATTCCCATGTTGGTGGCCACCTAGCAGCCCTCACCTCACACCTAAACAGCCCCCTTGCTGTTTGTCCCTTGTGGAGGGCACCCCACTCCTACCTAGTCAGGCCTCTCACATCACCCAGAACCAGACCCCCGTGTGGAAGCTGACGGCCTCCACCCCTGAAGGTTGCTGTGCAGTGACGACTGGCCATGTTCCTGTCCCCACGGGGGGACTCATGGCATCATTTCCCTGACATGACGATGCTTGGTTGGACCCTCTAGATCCCTGGCCTGCTGCCCCCGACTCCCTTCCCCTGGGGGTGGTGTGAGGACCCGTGAGTGGCATTAGGTCACCTTAGACAGGGGGATTTCATCGTAGATTCTGCCCTCTGCTGGGGGGGCAGCTCTGGTCACCATGACGTAGGTGTATATTGTTTTCTTCGAGGCGGCATCTGCGTCACAAAGAAACATAGAAACACAGCGTGTGAGAGGCGGATGGGTTTTAGAGATGACTTCTTCTGAGGTTCTTTTTTTAAGGTAAAGAAACGAAGCCTTAAAAGGTCAGAGGGCTAACATCGCCTTGAGATGGATGCTCGGGTCCTGGGACGGCCTCTCCCTCTTGTCGGGACTTCGCGCGGTGTGGGAGGCACCAGCTCAGGCCTGGCTCACCCAGGGCTCTACTCCAGAATCCACAGGAGGCTGACGAGGTTCCCCCAGCCCGGGCGGGCAGTCAGAGGCAGCCCCTCCCCGCAGGGTCTCGCATGGCCTCTCTGGCACATGGTGCTGACTGCCTCCCCTGGGCTCATTGTCTTCTTATGCGAGGGCCTTGGTTTTTCCGTGAGGTTGACTCTCTCTAGTTACACATTGTGTTGGACTCCTTTGCCCCGTACCTTCCTGTGACTATCTCCAGGGAGAAGAACAGAGCAGATACTCTACAGACATTCGTTGTCTGCTCGATTGAGCCACATGGTAAAACACTGATGAGAGGCTTCCTCTGTGCACCAGGCTCCACGGGAGGCAAAGACCACAGAGACAAGTCCCTACTCTTAGGAATTTCTGGGCTGACAATAGCCAAACTATGGAAAGAACCTAGATGTCCATCAACAGATGAATGGATAAAGAAGATGTGGTATACACACACACACACACACACACACACACACACACAGTGGAATATTATGCAGCCGTTAAAAAACCTGAAATCTTGCCATTTGCAACAACGTGGAAGGAACTAGAGGGTATTAGGCTAAGCAAAATAAGTCAATCAGAGAAAGACAATTATCATATGATCTCTCTGATATGAGGAATTTGAGAGCAGAGCAGGGGGTCTTGGGGGGGTAGGGAAGGAAAAAATGAAACAAGACGGGACCAGGGAGGGAGACAAACCATAAGAGACTCTTAATCTCAGGAAACAAACTGAGGCTTGCTGGGGGTGGGGGAGCAGGGATAGGGTGGCTGGGTGATGGACATTGGGGAGGGTATGTGCTATGGTGAGTGCTGTGAAATGTGTAAGCCTGATGATTCACAGACCTGTACCCCTGGGGCAAATACTACATTATATGTTAAAAAAAATAATAATTCCTGGGCTGAGGCAGCTGGGTGGCTCAGTCGGTTAAGCATCTGTCTTCGACTCAGGTCATGATCCCAGGTGTCCCGGGATCAAGTACCGCATCGGGCTCCCTGCTCAGCAGGAAGTCTGCTTCTCCCTCTCCCACTCCCCCTGCTTGTATTCCCTCCCTGTTATCTCTCTCTGTGTGTCAAATAAATAGATAAAATCTTAAAAAAAAAAAAAAAGAATTCCTGGGCTGGTAAAGGCATCCGTCCCAGTGTGCCCCTCTTTCTGCTCCCAACATGCAACATTTTAGGGCAAAGTCAAAAAGAGCTGTTTCAGGGCACCAACACATCCACAAATAGCAGCGAGCTGAGTGGCACACAGAGGTAAGTCCTGTCCCAGACCCTACCTCCGACCCGCCAAGAGAGTCAGCCCGGGCACTCTCTGTCATCTCATTGGTAGATGAAAAAAGTAGCACTTCTTCCTTCCCAAGAGACCGTGAGGGATTGGAGACAGATGTCTCTTGGAGGAACCCTGAAGATACCTATGGCCTGAGTCAGGTTACAGGACTTCTCTCCATCACTCCCATTTGAGTTAAATTCTCTGCCCCGGAAAGCCTCCTTCCGTGCCAAGGCTGGATGGTCAGTTGTACGCATCGTGCTGATATTTACTGAGTTCTTACTATGCACCGGGCTCCAGGCCAAGTACATAATGTGGGTAATTCCATTTAATCCTGTTAATAAGTATGTATGTCTGTTTTACCACCGAGAAAACTGAGGCTTATGCTGACAGATCACTAATAGCTGATAAACAGTCAAGCTGGGACCTTCGGCCCAGACCGCCTACGAAACAGAAGCTGAGTCTTAACTCATCTGCTGTGAACTCATGGCTCTCAGTTGTCATCCGTGGAAACTCGTGGCTGAGAACTTACCAGAGTTCTTACTGAAGGGCTTCAAGAAGGAACCTGAGGAATCAGACCCAAAGGAGAGTCAGGAACATGGAAACAGAGGTGGAGCTCTCTACACCCAGGCTTGTTACTGTGATTGGGGGGAGGATTTGGGGAAGATTTGGGGAGATGATGGGGGTAGGAGGAATAGGAGGGCATAATGATCCTCGGGGGGGAGGGCCCAAGATTAGGTTTTCTGCATTGCAAATAGCACAATTACAGAAGGATCCAGAGGGATCCAGAGGGATCTAGTGACGTCCATGGAATGAAAAGTTAGTACATGTCTGTCAGGGACTCTCCAAAGTCAAAATATGGTAGAATTGGAAGTGACTCAGGATACCCTATAATTCGAATCTCATTCTACATGTGAGAGCACTGAGCCAGAGAAGGAAAGATACAGTCCAGTGAAGCCCAGGTCCTCCTTGGCAGTAGTGAACTCACACCCAGATTCTGGGCCCACCAGATACTGATGACAGCAGGAGCGGATTCCGGAGCCCACTCAGAGCACTGGCATCCAGGGGTCAGCACTCCGGAGAGGGTGAGGGAGTGTGGATTGGAGGAAGGCAGATTCCCTGGAACAAGGCACCTCTCTACCCCACCTTGGATAGATGACTCCTGTCCCGGGAAAAGGAAGGTGTATTTCCACATTTTACCTTCTGGAGAAATCCTACCTTCTCCTCGTTTGCGCAAAAGGAACAAAAGCACCAAAGTCACGATGAGTATAGACAGAAAGAGCCCGGCCAGCCCACTCAGCAGCCTGGTGTGGCGAGAACGGAGGCCTGTTGCAGTGTCTGGAAACAGAAGAGACAGTGAGACTTGGCCACACTCAGGGACACTGTCAAAAGGGGTGCCCGCCGGGGGAGTGCCACAGCTCCAAGGGAAAATGGACTTTCTGGTATTCAAAGTCAGCGTTAGAAACAGTCAGAGGGCCAAGCAGGGACTGCTTCAGAACACCGCAAACACCCGGCCCATCTCAGACAGCTCTGGCCTCTTTTCCAGGCCCTTCTGGGAGGAGATGCCCCTGGGGACCAGCCTGGCCTAAGGGAGGGACACCCCCCGGGGAAACAAGGCCCAGTTTAGGCCGCTCTTCCGAGTGGGTCTTGGAGACTACAGGGGAGCCCGACGGCGCCGGTCACCTGCACAGAGCTGCTGGGCAGAGATGGAGTCCGAGCTGTTGCTGATGGGGTTCTGGGCTGTGCACGTGTAAGTCAGCTCCTGGCTGTCGGGGGTCCGGGAGATCCGAATTACATTCCCCTTCTCCCCCAGAGGACTCCAACTGTATGTGACGTTCTCTTCTTCTTTCTCCACGGAGCACGTCAAGGTGACATAGCAGGTGCTGTTCATAGACGTCATTAAACTCTGTGTGATTTGTGGCTTCCCAAGCCGACCTAGGACAGGGAGGCACAGGTGTCCGGGCTGAGCGGGAGCTAACCTCTCTCAGGAGAGCCAGCTGTTGGGTTCTCAGAAATTCTTTCAAGAGGGTTGTTAAGTGCAACCATCATGAAAAATGAAATGATAACAACTTACAATAAAATAAATCACATTTTGAAAAGCTAATATGTACTCAAAATTCACCGCTTTCTATTTTTTTGGCCGATTTGCTGTTACCTACGCTCTAAAAGTTATTTACATCTCTCAGATCTGTCTTGTGTAATGATATACAAAGTCTTCCCAGTTCTGCAAGCTTCAAAACACATTGGGAGTCTTTACACCACAGAAATGGACAAATCAGGGGGTGCTTGGGCGGTTCTGTCAGTTTAAGCGTCCGACTCTTGATTTCAGCTCAGTTCCTGATCTCAGGGTCATGAGATTGAGCCTCACGCGGGGCTCCGCACTGGGCATGGAGCCCGCTTGGGATTCCCTCCTTCTCCCTCTGTCCCCCTTTACCCTCCCCTCAAATAAAAGAAATTGGCAAATGCTCAGACTTGGGCTGGGTTGACCGGTCTACAGATTGTCACTCTAGACTGAAGAAAACAAGAAGAAACATTAAAGATGAAGAAACATTAAGAACACTAAAGATGGTTAAAGTCAATTAAACTTCAGTCTGCCTCCTGTCTGCAGCCATTACATTGGGAACAGCACCAAAGAATCTAGGAAATATTCTTCCAGTGTTTGAAAACCATTATCCGATTCAGCAAAGCAGTCTCTTGCACTGACGTGCAAGGTCAGGTCTGAAGTATGTGTTTGTTGGGTTACTTTTTCCTTATTAGCCCAGTTCACAAAACTATCAGCCAGTATCCCCGTTGGCTTCTTCTTTGACACCTGAAGGCTGAGAAGGATAAACGTTCAGCAAAATTCAATGAAAACGTTCTGTGCATACGGCTAGCTCTATGGGATACACAATAAAGACCGGTGTATATTTACTACCATTTATGAAATCATGTGCCGCACGCCCTTTGGGTCACCCAGGCCATCAAGAACCAGTGCACCACTGCATGAAAGTCTCTACAAAAAATGTTTTGGCTGTGTTTTCTGATGTGTTTTCATGGAGTTGTTTTGTGTTGTTCTAAAGCGCCACAGTAAAAAGTTAAAATCCCTTCAAAAGTTCATTTCAAAAGATGTTTTTACAAAAGCAATCAAAAGGTTAACTGTCCAAGTGGTAGGCTGGTAAGGGGTTACGGAAGAGCAATTATATTTAGGTTGAAGTAAGAGCTATCTGGGGCCGGCAGAAGGAAAGGGAAGTTCTTCCCTTTACTGGCAGATAAGAAAGTGCCCATGTTCTGAGTTGGTAAATTTAGTTAATTCTTGGCCAGACTGCTGTGCTGGGCTTTGTTCCCTCTATCCTAGCCACGTGGGGAGGGTTCAGAAGGAGGGGGCATGTGGCTTTCTGGTTCATGTAGTATTTTTAAAGTTGTCTGTGCCTGCAAGGAAGTAGAATATGGTAAGGAAGAATCTATAAATGTTTTTCATTCCAACCGCACCAGAAACCCTGGTCCTGTGAGTCTCTTAGAGGGATCTACTCCAGACCAGAATTAGTGGTGACTTGCGAAAAAACTCTCAAAGAAGTTTGGAGTGACCTTGATGTGCTACGACGGTGATCAATAGAGACATCTATAGCAAAAAATCAGCCAAAGGGGGCGCCTGGGTGGCTCAGTGAGTTTAAGCCTCTGCCTTCAGCTCAGGTCATGATCTCAGGGTCCTGGGATCAAGTCCCGCATCCAGCTCTCTGCTCAGCAGGGAGCCTGCTTCTCACTCTCTCTCTCTGCTGCCTCTCTGGCTACTTGTGATCTCTGTCTGTCAAATAAATAAATAAAATCTTTAAAAAAAAGAAAATCAGCCAAAGTGTGTGTGTGTGTGTGCGTGCACGCGTGCAGCACGCTTTTCTTTAGAAACCGGACTTACAGGAATATTCAAGTCTCTGCTTGATATTTACTTATTTTTAGAGAAACTCTTTTGCTGAGTGTCGAGGTGGGGGATAGTGGTAAAGATAGGATCCCAACCCTCCTACACTGTTGGTGGGAATGCAAGCTGGTGCAACCACTCTGGAAAACAGCATGGAGGTTCCTCAAAATGTTGAAAATAGAACTACCCTATGACCCAGCAATTGCACTACTGGGTATTTACCCTAAAGATACAAACGTAGTGATCCAAAGGGGCACGTGCACCCGAATGTTTATAGCAGCAATGTCTACAATAGCCAAACTATGGAAAGAACCTAGATGTCTATCAACAGATGAATGGATAAAGAAGATGTGGTATATATACACAATGGAATACTATGCAGCCATCAAAAGAAATGAAATCTTGCCATTTGCGACGACGTGGATGGAACTAGAGGGTATCATGCTTAGCGAAATAAGTCAATCGGAGAAAGACAACTATCATATGATCTCCCTGATATGAGGGAGAGGAGATGCAACATGGGGGGTTAAGGGTGTAGGAGAAGAGTAAATGAAACAGGATGGAATTGGGAGGGAGACAAACCATAAGTGACTCTTAATCTCACAAAACAACTGAGGGTTGATGGGGGAGGGGGTTTGGGAGGGGGGTGGGATTATGGACATTGGGGAGGGTATGTGCTATGGTGAGTGCTGTGAAGTGTGTAAACCTGGCGATCACAGACCTGTACCCCTGGGGATAAAAATATATGTTTATAAAAAATAAAATTAAAAAAAAAAAAAAGATAGGATCCCATCTCATTCTTCTCAGCAGGAACAGAGATGTTACCTGCATCAGGCTGCTGGACAGAGAAGGTCAGGGCTGTGGCTGAGAGTGGGGAAGCCACTGGAGACCTGGGTCTGACCAGGCTCTGCTGCTCTCCAGAAAGGGGACGCACGCAGCCTCAGCTCCATCCCTTAAACACTGATACAATTTTCTCCTGCTAGGGTTGTTTGTTGTGAGGACTAAATGAGCTATTGTGTTTAAAGAGCACCTAATACCCATCTCCGTCCATCTGCCTATCATCTGTCTAGGCATAGTAATTATCTATGGGAAAGACAAAACAAGCCAGCAATAGGGACTGCCTCTGAGAAGGGAGAGTTGCAATGCACTGTGTACTGTCTTTGACTCTGTGCATGTGTTGCCTAAATGTATGTGATCTCTACATATTTTTTAAAATTAGGTGGTAAAATGGCAGACACACAGAGTTCAATAAGTGTCAGTTCCTGTCTCATTATCTTCTCCACTAACTCCCCCAAAGGTACAGATTGTGTTAGGTGGGCAATCTGGCTTTCTCTGAGACTTTCTGGTGGTCTGCTCTACCTGCAAATAGTATAACACCTCCCAGAGATTGAGTGGGTAAAACTGAACATACAAGAGATGAAAGCCACGGCGCCTGTGTGGCTCAGTTGGCGAAGCATCCCACTCTTGATTTCGGCTTGGGTCATGATGTTGGAGTCCTAGGATTGAGCCCCATGTTGGAGCTCTATGCTCAGCAGGAAGTCAGCAGGAAGTCTGCTTCTCTCTCTCTCTCTCTTCCTCTCTTTCTGCCCCTCCCCCCGCTCACATGCACTCTCTCTCTAAAATAAATAAATAAATCTTTTAAAAAATGGTTAAAGTGCTTAATGTTGTGTTACATATATTTTTATCACAATAAAAATTTTTAAACAAATAAAAGAAAAAATGAATTTACCATGTGTTTTCCTTCTTGGGCATTTATCCTAGAGAAGCAAAAAGTCATTTCATGCAGAAACATGTACATGAATGTGCACAGCAGCTTTATTTGTAATACCCCCAAGCTGGAACTAACTAAAATATCCCCTCATCAGTGAATGGTTAAACAGACTGGTCCGTCTACACCATGGAATACTATCCAGACATAAAAAGATAAAAACTATTGATACTTGCAATAATTAGGAAGACTCTGAAATTATGCTGTGTGAGAAGAGCCAGTCTCAAAAGCATATGCGTACTGCATGAGTCCATGTATGTGACATGTGTGAAATAACGTAATGATGGGTGTGAAGAATGGAGTAAGGTCTTCCAGAAGCTGGGGAGGGAGCAGGTGGCTCTGAATGGCTGAGGGACTCTTGCTGCAGGGGTGTTGTGGTTCAGGACCTTGATTGCGGTCATGACACACGAGGGCCCACAGGTGAGTAAACTCTGCAAGCTACACGTACACGGACACATAGAGGAGAGCCCGTACAACTGCTGATGTCTGAATCAGCTTCCTAGGGATGCCTGTGCGGGCTTCTTGGAGTTGATACTGTCCTATAGTTACACGAGATGCCACCACTGGGGGGACTGGAGAATGTGCACACAGGACCTCTTCTTTTTTTTTTTTTTTTAAGATCTTATTTATGTATGAGAGAGAGAGACAGAGAGAGCATGAGCAGGGTGAGGGGGAGAGAGAGGGAGAAGCAGATTCCCCACTAAGCAAGGAGCCCGACATGGGGCTCTATCCCGGGACTCCAGGATCCTGACCTGAGCCCAAGGCAGACGCTTAACCGACTGAGCCACCCAGACGCCCCTCCCTGCCTGACTCTTTACACCTCTCTATGCATCTACACTTATTTTAAAATAAAAAGTTTTTGTTTTTTTTTAAAGAAGTGCTTTCCATACACTATCTTACTTGATCCTCTCAGTGACCAAGGGAAGTGATTGATTATTCACATTTTATAGAAAAGAAAAACCAGACGCATGGAACAACCTGCTGCTTGAAGATTACATGGCTAAAAACAAGCAAAATCACAAGCTCTTCGTTAGTATTGATGTGTTTACGTATGGATTTACAGGTACAGAAAGAATTAGGGACGTCAACAAAGAAATAAAGGCATTCTGTAGATAGCGAATTTGCAAAACAAAGCAAGCCCTTTATCCTCGCGCTACTTACGGAAGACCTGAAGGTTGAAGCGCCTGGTGGTGGTGGCGACCACCCCTTCAACGGTCTTTGTATTTATGTCGGCTTTGTAGATGCCAGAATCTTCCATCCTCAGATTACTGATCTCCAGGTTGTAGTTCTGACAGGAGACATTTATTCGGTCATTATAATTTTGGTGGGTCACAGTAACTTTGGGTGCTGCTCCTGCATCTCCTGGCGTTATGAAAGCAACAGATGTCTCAGAGTTCCAAACGATGTTGACAACTTGCTGTGATTTTTTGATATTTAAGGGGAAAGTGACCAACTCCCCCAGTATCCCAATCAGCGTGATGACGTCTGTGTCACTTCCGTCTGCTTCCAGACCTGGAGACATAAATAGAAAACCAATGCCATTTCCCTGTTGCACTTTTTAGAGTCTCCTGTCTCCCAGGCTTGAGTCTCCCTGAAGACCTGCCCAGATGCAGCTCATCCAACCTCTGGAGAGGTTTTTTGTTTTTCTTTTGTATTTTTGTGGGGTTTTTCTGTTTGTTTGTTTTTTAGGTTTTGTTTCGTTTCGTTTCGTTTTTTGTTTTTGGTATTCTACTCTACATATAATATGTTATGATGGCTAAATTTTCTAAGGGATTCTCATTAAAAAAAACACGAAATTTCCAGTGAATTTCAAGGGGTCTATTTCATTAAAAATATTTATCTGGACTTACAGACCGAAGGGTCTACGAGATTGGAGGGACAAAGACCATACACCTCCAGAAGGTTTGAGAATTAAGTGTCTTTCTTTCCCAAGATCATATTGCCAAGTGACGGAAGAGCTGGGACAAGAGCCTGGCTGCTGTGGTCTTTGCAAAAAGAAAGCTACATTTATACCTTTATTTCCGGAAGATACAGGCCTATAGTGCTTTGGAGGTTCTCCAAAGTATTTCCCAAGTTGGTGATTTGGAGAGGTCTTTTTTGTTCCCTACTCTATCTCCAGCCTCTAGGCTAGTCCATGACATGTAGTGGTGGTTTAATAAATATTTGTGGAATGAATTAATAAATGGAATTCACTTACGTGTTGCCTGGAATCTCTTGGAACAGCTTCTGATGTAAGCAAAATTCATTTATTCATTCGTACATTTATGAATGAATGCATGAATTTTTTTCAAGGTCAGCTTTGTCCCAGATACTACAGCAGGTAATTATTAATCAAATTTCTAATAAAAATGTTTGCTGAACATCCACTCTTTTAAGTGCAATGCAAGGAGCTGTGGGATACAGAGGTGAGTGAAAATTGATACAACTTTCCTGCTCTTTGGAACTTTACAATTAAAGGAAGAAATCAATAGTGATCAGATCATCACAGATGTACAGATACTATATATATGGTTGACTCTTGAACAACACAGACTTGAACTGCGTGGGTCCACTTATATATGAAATTTTCCTGTAAATACAATGCAATACTGTCAATGTGTTTTCTCTTCTTTATGATTTTCTTAATAACATTTTCTTTTCTCTAGTTTACTTTATTGTAAGAATAAGATCTGTAACAATAAAGCATACAAAATATGTGTTAACTGACTATTATCAGTAAGGCTTCTGGTTCAGAGTAGGCTGTAAGTGAAGTTTTAGGGGAGCCTGAAGTTATACATAGATTTTCAAGTGCATGAGGGGTCAGTACCCTCAACCCCTGCATTGTTCAAGGTCAAATGTGTAAGTATTATGGTGCTTTGAGAGACAATAGCAAGGAGACTTGACCTGTTACTTTCTAGTAAAAGCTGAAGGATGAATGCTTTTAAAATCCAATGTGGGGGGAATGAGAAGTTTATTTTTCTCTCTTCTCCTCTTTCACCTTATGAAGATAAACTGACTTGATACCTAGTTTGTAAAATGGAAGGCAATATAATTATAAAATGGCCGCCCTTGCCCTCCAGCCCAGTAGCTCCTGAATGAGACTAGAGATTGCTAATAAAAATCTCTTTCCTTTCAGACCAACCAAGATTTTGCCTTAGGAGGACCATCCCAGGTCATGCATGATGACTTAGTTGGGGTGGGTTAAGTACAGAAGAAGATGTAACAGGGTCCTGGGGGAGGGAGAGACTAAGGACCTGTATCTACAAACATTTATTAGGTGCTAACTATGTGCCATATGCTATGCTAGAGACTCAGAGAAGAATAGGATGTGGCTGCGGTGCTGAGGAGATCACACCCTGGAGAATAAGACAAATGTGTATGCAAGTAAAGAATAACACAATCTGATGAGTGCTAAATGGTAAAAGCAAAAGAAACAAACCACTGGGGAACCAAAGGAGAGACTAAGGCTGCCTTCAGGGCAAGAGTCATAGTTTACAAAAATCCAGCTTCTTGAACATTAATTCTCTCCAGATAAACTGTTCCATTGGGCTATGGGGTGTGGTAGAGGGGTCCTTGGTGTGTGCCAGCCTGAGTCCTTCTCAGACATGGGCATGCCACCTGGGCAGGTGCACAGAGCCTTGAGCTCAGAAGGACTCTGAGATTGCTTTAAGGCTGCTGTGCCACCTTGAAAGACTTACTATTGTTTGGGCAAGGACCAGCCCCCCCCCCCCATTTTCATGTTGCAATGGCTTCTGCAAATTACACAGCTGATCCTGGTGCCCGGTAGCCTGTGTCTTGCGGAACTTTTTAAAATCAGACCCTGGCACCTAACTGCCATTCTGTTCTGTAGATAAAAGTTAAATGTGTGAAGAGGATGTGGGTTCTCTCCTCAAGCCCCAGGAAGTGTGTAGGCGACTGTGAAAACAGAACTTCTTAGGGTTCATGGCAGTTGGGTGGCCACACGGCAGAGTGTGTGTCGTGTTGTTTTGACTTATCCTCCATAGCAAGTCTTTCAGGGAGTGATGTGGTGCATCAAAGGGCGAGGAGACAGGAGCACTGGCAGGTAGGTCGGACTGGGGAAAGTCCTGCTGCCCCTCTTGCTGCTTGCGTTGTTGGTGAGAATCCTGGGCTTGCTGAGGAAAGGCCTAGGGCTCACCCATGCACGAGATGCAGCCTTGGTTACCTCCAGACCCTCTGACTGTGGTCTGAGGCAGGTGGCTGGGAAGACAAGGAGCCTGGAGGTGTGGGTGATAGCACTTCTGATTAGAAGCTGGACTACCTTCATAAAGCTACAAAACCTTTCTGAGTCTCAGTGGCTCCATCCATAGAATGGAAATAATAACAATAAAGTTTGTTCTACCTAAGTAGTGACCAGCAAATCATACAATAAGAGTGGAATGTCTTGTAGCCATTAAGGCACCATGCATGTCAGTTGTTTCTGGAGTTGAAGATGACAAGGACTCTCATCTTCATCATTTGCTTCATCATCATCCTCATAACTGGTACATGCCTTTGAAGGCTTCCTAGGCCACCCCCATGATGGCCCGGGGCGGGGGTTGGGGGGTAGCAGGACCATACTGAAGAATGTATAAAGGGCCATTATTAAGGGCTAATTCAAGTAAAGCCCAGAGAGATACTTTTAGGTACCACTCCACTTATGGGCTTTAAGCTTAAGACTTTAGGTTTTAAAAGAGAATCTCCATATTGAACTACCTCAATATTTATTTTTCTAGGTGCTGTAATATAATGTAAGTGCCGTAATAAAATGTAGGTGCAGGGTATATATAATATACTAATGACATAATATATATTATATATTAGTTTATATGTTTTATATTTGTGTATTATGTTAATTATATATAATAACATATAACACAAGAGTAATATAATCCATAAAATCCAGTAATATAATATAAATGTAAACATTATATTAACATTGGAAGAGACCTAAGGAAAACCCATCTTCAGAGAGAACTTGTAGCACAAAAGTGTCTTGAGGACTTAACACATAATGTACTAGGCAAGTCTATGACCAAACCAGTTCTCTGCCATTTTTTAGGAATTTCATAATTGCTTAGGAAATAAGATACACACACATACACATAACTCTTCTTTGAAAAATGAGGTAGTAAATGGTAAATTCATGTAATGGTAGAGACAGTAGTTACAGTACAAATACGAAGAAAGGAGAGATCACTTTGAACTATAGTGGTTAGGGGAAACTTCTTAAAGAAAGTAGAATTTGAGGAGGACTTTGAAAGAGTGAATAGGATTTTACTGAAGAGAAATGGAAAGGATGAGTGTCTCAGGTCCTCAGGTCCTGAGTAAAAATTTAGAAGCAGGAGAACATGCGATGTGGATTGAATAAATATAGATTTGCATAATGGAGTAGAAAAAGATAAGGAGGAGATACAAATCTGGTTTAGGTCTGAGACAGCCTTGAGTTTGAGATCTACATCACAGGCAGAGGGGAGCTATTGAAGTTCTTGAGGATGAAGATTAAAATGATATTTTAGAGTCATAGTAATATAGTAATGTTGTGTAGGAAGAATAAAAAAAAGAAACTGGGCTTGAGAGACCATTTTGGAAGCTTCTGTAGGCATCTGGGCATGAACCAGAGGATGATAAGATGAATGGAATGAAAGTGCTGAATTTGAGACACAGTATAAAGAAAGAGAGGGAGTAAGGAGGAACCTGATAGAATTCAGTTGTTCAACAATATATTTTGAGCATCTACTTTGTGTCAGTGAAAACTGATAGATACTGGAAAACTGGCTAAGATTATGCTGAAAAAAAAGTCCAAAGGAGAAAATAGGTTTAGTGTTAGAAATATTGAATTTGAGGGGTGTCTAGGTGGCTCAGCTGGTTAGGGGCCCAACTTGTGATTTGGGGCTCAGGTCGTGATTTCAGGGTTGTAAGATTGAGCCCCACATCAGGATCTGTGCTGGGCACAGAGCCTGCTTAAGATTTCCTTTCTCCTCTCCCTCTCCAATGTAAAAAAAGAAATACTGAATTTAAGATTATGTTGGACCATCCTGATAAGTAGTTGGAATGATGGAAGATAAGGAAAGAGAATGGTCTGAAAATATTGCTTGGGGGTTGCAGCAAAATCTGTCGGTTATTTTCCAATGTTTGTTCTCTCCTTTATTCTTGGTAAGAGAATGCCTAATTTTTAGCAAGGCATATGGTCACCCAGGATAAAGACTACATTGTCCAGCTCTTTGCTAGCTAACTTTGGTTATGTGACTAGATTCAGGTCAAGGGGATGAAAGCAAAAGTGTTGCATATGACTACTGTGTCTTTAAGAAGAGGGTACTTTGCTTTCTTCGTTTCTTTCTTGCTTCTTGAAGGCTGAAATGCTACGACAGCTGGATCTCAGACACACATTTTGGATCAAGAAGAGGAAGCCAATACTGAAAATGGTGGAACCGAAAGACAGAAAGAAGTATGTATCCCTCACTGCCTTGTTAACTATCCAATCAATGGAACTGCCGACTCCAGACTTCTTCACACGGACAAGAGTTCTTCTTCTT